CTGAAACACTGACCAGTCGCAGAAAAGCAAGGACCAACTGTACACCCCTCCGAAGACAGTCTTTGCCATGTGCGAGGCGAAAGGGTCCGCAGCTACAGCAGCGCGTCCTTTCATTTGCTTGAAAGCGCACGGAACAGGGCCCAAGGGTAGTCGTACGCGAGTGCCACACACCACCCGCGTTCTCCTCGAGATACAACACTTTCTTCGGTGCCAGCGTCCCGCAAGAGACACGTACTCAGCGGTAGAGAACAACCAGAAGGGCGCAGATACCCAGTGCGTTTGGTTATGATTCGCAGAAAAGCAAGGACAAACTGTACAATCACCTCCGGAGCCTGCAGCAGTGCGAGTAGTTATGGAGACGGCACCCGGACATCACTATCCTCTAGCCCCTTACACACGCTACTGCAGCTGCGGACCCATTCATCTCGCAGGTCAAGCTTCCGGCTAATACGTGTTTCGTGACCAGGAGGTGAAACTCCCCCTGGGGACAAATTTTCAGCGAATTTGGTAATTTCGGATATTTGGTCCAAGTGGTCAAACTACCCTTGGAGACAAGTGTTCAGCCAAATCCGCCCTCACAGAAAAAGTGGGTTAAAAAACTCGCTGATTCCGGAAACTAGGGGCGAAAAGGGCAGATAGAGCCCAAAATTCAAGCCTTGGTTCCGCCAATCATAATACAATTAGCTAATTTATGAGAATTACAGCTAGTCCATGAACTTTTTCGGCAGACAGCACCACAATTCTCGCAAACTCACCACGTCCCACACTGATTCCGTACGGATCATTTTAAAACGATTTTCGATACAAAGCATCAGCTGGTCTTCGTATTGGCGTACGGCTGTCTCAAATCCTGGCCACACTTCCATATTGTAGTCTCGGAGCCTACTCTTCTCCTTCTCATTGAAGTGATTTCGTCCCAAGCGTTTTAATCCAACCATGTCGAGGCAACTGTGAAAAAGAACGTTTGGCTCTTAGTAGAGGCTAAGTAAAAACCTAGGCAAAATATTACAGTCTTGTTCGCTACGGATGACGGGACGTGTCAGTGAGGAGTGGTCTGGCACGCGGCCAGCAGTTTCCTTACCTCTATCTAAAGGGGGTAAGTGACAACAACTGGTGAAGAACGACTGATACAAATGGAGTTACACAGTCTTATCGCTTGCAGAAAGAAAAAAAGCGGACTGCTGCCCCGCCAGACCCATGCCCTTGATAGGCCCCTTCATCCGCAGCGGAAACGACTGCATGAATGTTCTTATTAACCTGCGAATAATGATGTTGTAGCAGTTAATAGTTTGCGAGTCATTCTGACTAAATCGAACAGACGCTTTGAGAGAAACAGTCACAGGTTCATTGCTGACTGGATGGACGGCAGAGTATTCTCCCTGAAGCAGAGGAATATTTTGCGGAGACAGGGCACATCCTATAGTGGGCATTTCCAAAGAGGTGGGGGCGTGTTTGGTGGGCGGACGGGGGGAGGGGGCATATTTGGTCTCAAAAAATGCTTTTACACGTTTTCTTCCTTGTTTCACGGGCACTATTCACATCGTTCGCAAAATTTTCAAGGATCGGGAGGGGAAGGGGGGGGGATGGTATATGTCTTTTGCAGAAATTTGCCGCATTATGAAAGAATTCTCCGTTATAGACTTTTCCATATTTTCCTGTTTCACTGGAGCTCGACAACAAAATTTTTGGAAAATTCCGGAAAATGTGGTAGGAGGCTGGGAAAGTTGTAGGGTGGGAGGAATGGGGAGGGGGTCGTATTTTCCGAGAATCTTCCCGATGGAAGGAGGTGCCCTCTTTGTGGATTTGCCAACAAAATATCAGGAACAGCTCACCTGATAATTGATACTGCTAACCAGATACAAAATCATGCCGTCAAAGATGAAAGCAGTGCCAATTTCATCTTGAATGCTTTTTTGTTTAAGAATAGCATGACGAAAATTCTTCGAATCGATCACCGGATTGAATTCAACATGGTACTGCCACACAACCAGTTCAGGACATTGCTCAATCCTTACAAAATTTGCCACCAGTTGAGTTGGTGTACCCGATTTACCTTTAAATGATCGAATTGAGCCACAGTCATTTGTTTTATGCAGGTTCGTAAAAGGAACGGCCTCGGCATTGTAAGGCAGCGTTCAGACTTCGCGACTGCAGTGCTTCGGTCGCGCGTTCGACGCGATCGATGCAGTCGAAAGCATGCGCATCGATCGCGTCGAACGCGCGACCGAGGCGCTGCCGTCGCGGTGTCTCAAAGCAGGGTACAGCATGGGGATAGGCGAAATGTCGGTGAGAGTACGACCCCCCCCTCCTGATGGGGTACAGGCCACGACCCCCCCCCTATTTTTTCGCGTGGGGTACGACCCCCCCCCCACCCTTCGACACCTTCTTCGCCAGTCGCCGAGCCATGAGTATATAGTCGGCGAGCGGGGGGCAAAAGTACGACCCCCCCTAATGTGTTTCACACAACGATGCTGTACCCTGTCTCAACGCTGCCTAAGACAGTTGTCAACGGCTGCCCATTGCTAACTGCGATACAAGTAAGGACCACTCTTCAAATCACAGTTTCAGGGATGTAAGCCTAAGTGCATTCACCAGTTTCGGAGAATAATCACAAAATGACGGACTTCTTCGTTTCCTTAACACGTTCCGGACTGCGTGACATACATGGTGCGTCATACATTTTTCTCTCTGCGCCGTTTCACACGATCTATTTGGCGTCATACTCATGCTTTGAAGTATTAAAACATGTTTTTCAGGTATAGAATACAAATAAAGAAACAGATGAAATTGCTGATTGTCGGTTTGAAAAGTACCGACATTATGTGGAGATTCTCGTACAACGGCTGTCCGGAATGTGTTAAAGTGCACAGTTCAGTGAAGTTGAGCTACTGCGTCACTCGAGTCGCGAAATATGAACACATTTATGGGTTAAAAGTGGTGAATTGATTTGATAATAAGGCAGCTTCAGTCCGTTGGAAATACCACCATGACCGAAGCGATCGCAGTGGATAAGTCGCTGGTCTAGTTGAGTATGAACCGTGCCTAACGACGCGCGCGGTCCGTGATCTCAGGCGCAACGTCGGCTTTGCATACATTAAAAAAATTGAACACGGAATGATAACTAACCTGTCTTGTTGAAGTTATCGGGAGGACGTGTGAAAAGAGTATTTTGAATTGTACTCAGCCGTCCCATATTGTTTCTGAAAACTAATATGTCACATGTTATTTTCACCGGCAAACTCAAGCAATTTTTACCTCGCATCACCAGCACTGAAATTTCTATTGCCCTCCTCCATATTCTATGCAAATGATCGCTGTATTGGGTGCACCAAGCTGCAATGGGGTATATTGCTTTTGAGATGGGGCTGTTTCAATATACCGGGTCATTTTGTGAGATCCTGTTGATATTCCAGGCTGAATGAACCGCTCCAAACGAAATAAAATACCAGTTTGTGCACCAAGGGGTAGTTCACTAACCACTGGAGCTCCTTTCCCATTTCTAAACTCAGGGAAAAGTTTTCATCTCTGTTGTACAGTGGTTCCTTCCCGTCATTAAAAATAGTCCAGAATGAAAAGGAGTGGCGTAAAAAAAAGACACCTGCACCCTCACGGCGCTTTACAGAGCTTTCAAACCGAAGCGAAATGACTCGGCATGGTCGCGCTCATACGCAACTCCGAAAAAAAACGACGAGTTTACGGAAAAGGTGTCGAGGTATCGATTTGGAGCAACACGCAACACTCGGAGAAATTCGGAAACGAGAGAATCGGCAAAATGAGCGATAAAGCGTAGATGGATATCGATTAGTCAGCTAACCTCCTTCGGAAAATTGCGGGAGAGTTGCGAAACAGACTGCCCTACTCTCTGAACTAGATGGAGTATACTTGTAAGGTCACATAGACGCATGCCACTGAGCAAGAAAAAACTTTTGAGCATATTTATATTCGAAATTTCTGATAGAGTTTTTCTCTCTTTTGCATCTATCATACAGCTGGTTCTCGAATATTTCTAATATATACTATTTCTGAACTTTATTCCATCAAAAGTAGTTAACGACATGGAAATATTAGTAAAACTAATAAGAACTTTGTTCTCACCCCGTTCCGGTGGGTTACGGGGCATCTGTCAACTAGGTAGATCGCTGGAAGGGCCCAGAGGCATTTTTCCGTTGCATCTTCTCACCGAAGATTCGAAGCTAGGAGACCAAAGAACAAAGAAGGGAGGAAGAGGAAAGGGAAAGAAGAAAGAAAAAGAAGGGGGAGGAGGGTTTGTTGATGGCAGATGCATTGAAACGATTCGGGGTAGGCCATACGACAGCGGCGTCTGTACAGACAACTGGAGCGAGTCCCTTTGATGGCGTCAGCTTTCTGTTTTTCTCAGCGCCTCATGACCGCATGCTGTTTTGCGACTAGTATGACCTTCCAATTCCAACTTTCACATATAATAAGTGGCTCGTCCACCCCGGGGTCTTCTCCCTTTAGAAAAACTGATCACCCGGCCCGCAGCATGTTGTACCTCTCGATGCCTTGGTAGCCGCGGTGCCTACTGTCGCCTAAACCTACACCCGGAAAAACGGCCGTACGAGTTTACCGGGTGCATCTATCAAGTTTTCAAGTCAACTGTCTACTCCCTCTGGCATTCTGCCTTCAATATGAATCAATACCGACGGTTTAGCACTGTTGTGCATGGGATTGCCGTGGTTTGTATCAGAAGTGAATGCTGCTATGTTTCCACTTAACTTTTTTTATTTTTTCAGACTAGCTGAACTTGCTCAAGTCCCATGCAACATGGTCCGAGCCCGGTTAAGTATTAGCTTCGTGCTACTCCAGTCATAACCTATTGCGTAGGCCATCACTTGCCCTGGCTTTCAATATTGTTCACTTCTTGTGGTCCATTTTCCAAACTGTATACCTTAATGTGGCGATTTGCTAGGCCCACTGCAGCCATGGGATATAACACATCAGCACAGTGTACTCGCTCGGGGAGCGATATTGTTCACTTCTTGTGGTCCATTTTCCAAACTGTATACCTTAATGTGGCGATTTGCTAGGCCCACTGCAGCCATGGGATATAACACATCAGCACAGTGTACTCGCTCGGGGAGCGTTATATTCGTTAAAGAAGATTGAGTTGGTAATCCGCAAAGCCAAGTCCGCTTTTGGATGCGAAAACTTCACAACTGTGCTATGCAGTGTGTGCTATCCAGTGTAGTCGCTAGGAACAGAAAGACATAGACGATCATATACGATTTATTACGACTCTTCAGACGTTTGTGTTCTTCTAGAATAGCTATGAATTATGACTCGTAAACAGTTAAAATCATGATAATCAACCAAAATAATTTACAATACCACATAATCCTGCATTTCTATACAACCACTAACTGTGGTTGTCGTTTGTCGAGTATGTATGTATAATATTAGTATGTCCGTCCGCCAAATCTTCAGCGTTCAAACACGTTATTTAAGAGAGTTACTACCGCTAGCCGGTGGCGAACCAACATTGTGTGCAATGGTTATCCCAATGTTTTGATTGCGATAACAGCCTGCACATATAAAAGAACCCAGTATGTCACTCCAGAACAATTGCAACGAGCTGCTCGCGTGGCAGGTGGACGTGAGCACGTGCAGCGGCCGGGATGGGGAGTGGGTGGGGCAAGTGGGAGTGGGGAGGGTATAATGTGGGTGGGTGGGATTAGTGAGGGAGAGTACGGGAGGGGAAGCATAGAGTGCGTTTAGTAGAAACTCATCACGAGTGTGATAATAAAAGCGCCAATCAAAGCGATAAGGTGAATAGAGGAAGGATCAACCGCAAGCAGAGTCGCGAATAAAATCCATGTTTTAGTATCACTTTGAGGCAATGTGTGATTGTTTACAATCTCACTATATAAAAGAATCATGTAGTGCACTCGTATGAACATATTGGTCAAAGATTATTGACTATCTGTATAAAAGAAAAGCCGGTGAGGAGAAAGGATAAGTGCAACGGAGCCGGGCCCGCTCAGCAAATCCATTCTTTACCTCAGAAGAAGGCGTGCAGGCATCAGCCGGCAAAGCCGGCTGGTTCACCGATAATTCGTTACTTTTACATTCTGATTCACACGTAAATACTGTACTTTCGTCAGTTATTACGCTCAGGAAGGTCGGGGTGTTCTTCAAAACAGAGAGAACAGAAAAGGATCTCCTCCGGGTCTATTCGCAGGTCTTCTGCTGATTGAGAGATCTTCCTCATTTGCTTTCGAATACGTGCTCTCTGCAATAACATATTCGTTAGGAGTAAAGATCCCGTGCTTGTTAAAACGAATAATGGAAACGGTACCGTATAAAGTTCTGCTTTTTGCAATTTCGGTCTCCCTCCACTAGAGACATCAGGCCTAGGCAAAATTGCGGTCGATCCAAGCGGAACATCGATATCATCAGCAAGGATACGCATTCGATCTGCGACTCTTGAAAGGGCCTCTAGAGCGTCATCGTCTCCCTGTCTTACCAAAGCGTTCACCTTTGCGAAATCATGCCATAGCTCTGAAAGGGTTCACATGCAGCAACAGTGAGATACTTTGAAAAAAATAACGTCCAGTAAAAGCTAGGTTATACCGCAGGATATCGCAGGTGCCTTTGCAACATCATCACGGATCGCATGTAATTGCCCACGACGGTCTCGCGAAGATCTGACATTTACTTCGGAATTCTGTTTCTCGAAGGCTAGCGATTCTGCTTGCAAGACTGCTTCAGAAGTTGATTCCGAATTGGCTCCTGAAACCAGAGAGATTGAACCCTGACTTGACGTACGTTGAATATCGAACAATTGTTTTTCTCACCATAAAGTTTAACCGCGTGGCTATGTAAGCATGCGATACCTGCGAGGGCCCCATCGCTACAAGAGCATGAAACAGCGTAGGGGCACACATGACATCTTGGACAGTGATTGTTGACCTGAAAGTGTTTTAGTTTTAATAACTTTGTGCTGTGCGGTTATGTACTAGTAACTAGTAGAGATTTGTCGAACCATTGTCGCACGGTGCTTTCTCCAACACTATTGGGCCCCCACACCTGGTTAATTTGTCGAGCTGTCTCGACTGCGGATTGACCCAATTTGTAGTTGAAGAAAAATATCGTCCGAAGTTGCTCTTTTGACATGCTTCAAAAAGTCTTGGGAAAAGGGTTTATCAAGCAATGGTGAAACGGCAATTATACCATCAGATAGCGCAAAAAATTCTCTTCAGGATGTACTACTGAGACGCAAGGGAGAATGAGTTTTTAATCAGCAATGAATGTACAAAAAATAGTAACACAAAACGCTGACTTTCCGGGCAACCTAATAAAGAATAAGGAAAAGTACAACATAAGGTATTTTTCTGGAACATCAAACATACCTTAGAA